ATATAAATTAAATAGAAAATTCTTATTTGTATTAACTCTTATTAGAGAAAAAAGTTCATTTACGATCACACATTTTATTGCTATAATATTTTCCGACTTTCTAAAGCTTTATCGCATTTAGGTCCAGAATTACGCAAGTACAATGCTGGTTCTATCTCGCCGAGATCTTCGAGATCTCCGTCACTTCTGATGACCACGAAGAGAACGACCTCACGTAGCGGTTCGCCAGGTGCAACGGATATCCTCGGCGGAGGATGTTTCGAGCGGCTCAACGTAGGGTAAGTCGAGAACCTGATCGCGCCGTTGCTAACGACCGGGCTAACGTATATCAGTCGTAAAAAAGGGGCGTGTGCGACTTTATTTAAGCCCTCGTTTCCTACGAAACGAGGGATTTCTCGGTTCCGAGAGCATCGCCGGCTGGCTCCGGCCAGCCCGACTCGAGACCAACGCTGGGAATTATTTTAATGGCGCCACGATATCATCTGCAGAGGAAATGAATGACGCGTTTTGTGAGACCCACAATGTCCCGGCACGTGTGAAGACGCGCGAACGAATCTTTCGAGATATTTCGGAGAGAATGACTTCGTCTCGCGTAGTTATATTTACCCAGTTTTGTTATTAAATGCGAATGGTTGAAAAACAATAATTTTTTTATGATGCTGTGGCCGAGTTTTACTATCTTCTATATTCCATTAATTTCTCATGTTATCTGAAAGTTTTATAGGATTTAAAATTATGATTGATTTCTTTTATTACATCGTGCAGAGTATCGGAAAGAATTATTTTAGAGAGTATATGTGTATATATATAAAAGAAGAGAAATTGTTATAAATATCTTCCAAATTAAATAAAGTTTAACTAATCTATAAGCGTTCACTCTGAATAACAAAGTGCATTAATAAATCAATTGCGCGGTTAAAAAAAAAAACCTATATTAATTAAGGATGAAATATAAGAGACACGGAAAATAATATAGTAATCTACAAATGAATTGAGACTATTTCAAGTTTAAAGGTTTCTACGATCTATTAGGAAAGAGAGAAAAAGAGAAAGAAAGAGTAAAAGAAAAAGAAAGAAAAAGAGAGAGAGAGAGAGAGAGAAAAATAAAGAGTCGTCTAACGACCTCGCTACTCGGCAGTCGCGATATCTCGATTCAGCAGATTTATGCCACTTTTATCCGGCTGGATGTTCTCTATTTCCTCCCGATGATATCGCACCTCTCTTAACTGTATTTCCCGCCGTATTTCCCTTCCGAATTATATCCGACCGGTTAACTTAATATTAAGTTACGTTGCTTCTATTCCATTTATAGGAACGGCTCCTGTTCCTGCGCCAAATCCGTATAAGACATCCTCGAGAGCATCAACGCTTTGCGATACTCTATCGAGATACCGATGCTTTACTCGTGATATTGAATCCCTTCGATCCTGATATTTTCTACGATACTTGGGAAAAAAATATCGGATAAAAATTATCGGAGCACGGAGGACTGTTTCGCTTTTATTCATTAATTGTGAGACAGTCTACTAAATTTGTTTGGTAATAATTTGTATAAGCTATATGTATATATATAAGTTAATAATAAAAAAAAAAAAAATTAATATGCGCGCTTTATAAAATAAAAAGTGGAGATATTATTATCACGATCTCGGCTAAGATGAGTTATTCCATCCTTCATTTATTATCGAGATCATCTTGATCCTTGATGGTGGTTACGTTACCGAAATTTAACCACGGTGCACGATTGACGTACTCCAGCTCCAGCAGCTCTCGTAGCTTAATAACACGTACCGACATAACCGATCATTAATTCGCGGCGAGGTATGCGTGCGCTCGCGGAAACGATCGTGGAGGCTGCTGGTGTTCCGATGGCGTATGATTAATAGGAGCCCAACGAGAGATTGGCTCTTAATGACTCGACAACGAAAAGACCGCCGTGCCGTGTCGGCGGCCATTAAACGCGTTTTTAGTCACGCCGGCTTGATTTCTACTTGAGCTAATGGGCTTTTCATCGGTTTCGGGTAATCCCAGGGGATCCCGGTCGCCTGTCATTGTATGTATATTTTGGAAGTGACAAACACGCGCTACCTGATCTGGAGCCACGTGCACACTGGCAGATAATAAGCGATAAAAAAAGGCAATAAATTCATTTATTAAAAAAACTAAATGATGTAATTTAATGAACCTTTTGTATCAATGATCAGCATAATTTTGTATTCTAAAATAGCTTAAAATATTAAGATATTCTTTTCTTTATCCTATTTAATATACAGAAAAAGAGCAAATATGAATATGAATTCTCTCTCTCTCAAAATAAAAAAAAAAAGTATTTAGAAAGTTTCTAGATACAAGGCGCGTCGAGATGAGAATCTTATAGGAGAAAAGTAATACAGATTACTCAATTCTGTATTAAATTATTCAATTTTTTTTTCTCTCTCTTTTTCATCTTTCATTCTATTTTTTTATCTTCAACCATTTATCATATCAAAAATCGAGAATCAAATTTTCATCCCCGTTCTTTCTCTAGCGAATGCATCACTGATAATTTTTTATGCGTTTATACGAGAGAACGACCCAAGTAATGTTATATGGACGAACGTGAACGTGTTGATCCCGATATCCGAGCAATATCCTAACCGTCAACACATCTTCGACGATCGAAGAGTCAGTGCAAATTACTGCCAGATACTAATATCGAGCATCGCGCGGATTCGGGAAAGCCGGCGTGGATGATATAGTGCGCGATGCGACGGCGGCGGCAGCGTTTCCCATCGCGGAGGCTGTGCCCCGGAGCGGCGGACTCGTGTCGTCGTGTCATCGATAATTGATGTATGCGCGAACTAACGGCTGTAATTACAGCGCCTCGCCGCACCGCGCGGTCCGAGGTCCGATGATGCCGTGTGCGGAATCTCGTGCGCTTCGTCTCCTCTCGGATGGTAGGGCCGGTTGTCGAGACGACAGCGATGCGCATAACTTGCGGCGCAACTGCGTCGAAAATCCCCGTGCCC